TTCCCTCTCTCCTCTCTGCCTCTGGAGGCCAGTTCCCCCTCCCCTTTCCCCCTTTTATGATCCCTTTCCCCAATAAAAAAACCCTCTGCTTGAACCCTGTCTGGTGGCATCTTTCTCTTGCATGCTGTTTTTTCTTAAATTACAACATTCCTCAATTTAGTCATCATAAAGAATATTCTTACTAATTATATACTTTCAATTGCTGAGATGCCTTGAGGATGATCTTAAAGGCTTATCATGTTATTGATGTCTTCTCCATTTTCAAATGAACACAGAACAAAGGAACAGAACATCAAATAGTTAACCCAAGTCACATGAGTGATTCTCTGGGGTGTCTTCTCACCTGCAGTGAGGAGATGAATGAATACATTCCTACAGGGCATGCTTTCAACCATGAGGTTCTAGCTGCTAACTTGATAAATCTTACTCAATTAATTTCTTGCTTGATAGCAAATACTTTCTTAATTAATCCTCTTAACCCTTTTCCTTTCTCTCAAAATTTTTGTGTGTTTGCTCTTTGTTTTGATTTATTAACTTATGCTCAAACTCACCATGTAGCTAAGGATGGTCTTGAACTCTTGAGAATCCTGCCTCCACTGCAGTGATTGGATAAATACTGTGGACCATCATCCTTGGCTTGTGGTCTCTCTCTCTTCTCTCTCTCTCTCTCTCTTTATTTGGTTTCATATCTGGCTGATTTGATTCTTTTTCTAGAAGATATATCTTTTTAAAATGTTGTTGGGGAGGCCAGTACAAGACTGATCCAGACCCCTGAACATGGATGTCAAAAAGGAGGCCTCTGCACTCCAGGGAGACTCTGGTGGTGGATTAGTATTTTTCCCTGGTATAAGAAGGGACTTTGAGAGCCCATCCCATGTGAAGGGATGCACTCTTGCCCTGGACAAGCCCAGGATGATGTGGTGGACTTTGCAGAGCCCCCCATTGAGGGCCCTACCCTGCCTGGGGAGTGGTGGGTGGATGGGTTGGGGGGTAGGCTGGGGGTGGGGGAGGAGGGATGGGGTTGAGGGGAGGGAGATGAAGAAGGGACTTACATGTGAAACAAGCTTGTTCCCTAAATAGAACTAATAAATAAATTAAAAAAAAAATGCTTCACAAGCTTCTTAGGACCCATGACAAAGTAGACATTTAACATTAATTATTAAGTACTTTATGTCATTGACTGTTCTGACTCATCTTTATATAATGGTTCATATTTAAATTTTAAGCACATTTTTGATGGGGAATGTACTACTGTGTATGTTTATCTTATTGATTATTGAATAAAATACTGTTTGGCCAATGAGACAGCAAATTAGACGGAACTAGGAGTCAAAGAGGATTCTGGGAAATGTAGTAGAGAAGTGCTGATCCAGGCAGGAAGTGACATAGCAAGGAGACTCATATTTAAGCGAAAGAGAAACAGGAAGGGTCCTCTCTTTTCCCCTCCGCTCCTGCTCCAGCAGCATGATGTGATCCACCAGCTAGGAGGGACGCCAATAAGGCATCTGATAAGATAAGTCTTATAAAATATATAGCTGTATGATAATTGAGACTGAGCTAACAGATGAGAATCCTAGTCATTGGCCAAGCAGCATTGTAACTAATACAAGTCTCTCTGTGTATTCATTTGGGCCCTAACTCTGGGCAGGCGGCTGTTGTAAAGCTCACACATGGCAGTGGGGCTCAGGTGGCTTTTGACAGAAAGATTTATAGTAACACATTTTTATTAATTTTATGTGCCCATCAGGATGTACATGCCACAGAGCATATGTGGGGCAGAGAAAACTTTCAGGAATCAGTTCATTCTTCTCACCATATGTGTCACTGGGATCAAACTCAGGTCACCGGGCTTGACAGCAAGCACCTTTACTTACCTAGCCATCTCTCTGGCCCCCATGATTTTTGCATCTTTATTGTTCTCAAGTTGTTGGCCCTGAGTTGTACATTCTCTGATGTTTCCCCTTGGGCAGACAATACCTCTTCATTCTACATCTTTGCTCAAATAGAAGCTGCATTGTCCTGTCACCAAAGTATACACTTCTCTTGTATAGTACTTTGTATTAACTTTTATTCAAAATATGTCATACTGCTGTGCTTAACTTGTTCTCATGACACTGTTGCATGAATTTGTAAAATATTATTTATTTTATTTATGTGTGTTTACCCAGCATCAAACATACTGTATAACATGGAGTAGTCATTTAATGTGCTTTCAATAGGAGGAAGGGAGGGAGGGAAGAAAGGAAAGAGGAAGGAGAGGAAGCTATTTTGGAAATGTAAATCAGTAAATTAATAATGAAAGTACAATATTTCAGAAAGAATTGCCTCACTATTTTATTGCTGCAATGAAACACCACGGACAAGGAAACTTATAAAAGGAAACATTTAATTGGGTGCTTGCTTACAGTTTCAGTGGGTTAGTCAATGGCTATCATGCTGTAGAGCATGGGGGCAGACAAGCAGGCAGGCAGACATGTTGCTAGAGCGGTAACTGAGAGCTCATATCTGATTTACAAGCTGGAGGTAGAGAGGTAATGAGCCTGGCTTGGGCTTTTGAAACCTCAAAGCTCATCCCCAGTGACACAGTTCCTCCAATGAGGCTACACTCCCTAGTCCTTCCTAAACAGTCCAACAACTGGGAAATAAACATTCAAATATATGAACCTATGTTGTGGGGGCTGGGGGGTGTCTTCCTCATTCATACCACCAAAGCTATCAAATATATACTCTTAATATTTAATGAGGAGAGAAATGATAATCATTGAGTTAAAACATAAAGTTCCTAAAATAAATCAGAATAAGGTCATGATATTATTTTTTCATCATGATTGTTTTACATTTACCTACATTATTTGAACAAGTACAGATTGAACTGAAATTTCTATAAAGCATTTGATCAAGACAGTTCATGTTTTTCCTTGCAAGTAGAACAAACAAAATGAATGAAATAGTAGAATTGTAGATGGATTCATTACCACTTCTCTTCTCTGTCCTGTGGAGATTTTGATGTTTTTGTTTTTCTCCTCACATGAAATCTTCACTCCCCTTTTACTCTGTCCTTAATGGTCTATGGTTTTGTTAGTAATGATTAAAAGTGTAGATGTGAATGTATGTAGTGCATATGAAATTTGTGAAATTGCATGTCCCGAGCAATAGTCTCGCCAGCAAGAACCACACAGGACATTCGGATCCTTCTGCAGGAAAGCTTTAATGTGTCTTGAGAGGAGAGCATAAGCTTACCAGAGCGGAGACCCCGAGCCAAGAATCCCGTCCCCTAATAAAGGCTGGCAGCCGCCGCCTGGGACGTGTCACCCTATGATTGGCTTCAGCTCCTCAGGCCATATGACGCCACAGAATAGGCAGAGATCAAGGAAATGGAAAATTACCCAGCGCCTGCGTAATAATTTACATTTAGTGCCTTCAGGCGCCATCATTGTAATGGAGAATGCAGGGACGGCTCCCTACATCTCCCCGTTTTTTTATTAATTAATGATAAGGCTTCATATTTTTACAAGCACATAGGTCACCCATATGTTGAGGGATAGAGGCAGAGGTTGTACCTTCCCAATCAAACATTAAGACTGTGTACAAGAGTCGCCATCAGGCTGTTAGCTTGACCCGAAGCACTCTCGACCTGTCCTCTGCCGTTTTTTTGGGAAAGGGAGACTAGGGCAGGCAACCCTTATGCAGGACAACATGCCTCCCAGAGAAGCCTGCATACTGGGCAACTCTCTGTGCGA